GAGTTTACATGTTTTTTCAAAAGAAATTAATTTTTTAATATCTTAAACATTTTCAAGTATTTTCATGATTAAGCATTATCAAGAAAAAATAAAGCTTCTGAAATTTTTATTTTTCAAGAAATATTTTTCACTCCTTGAACATTTTTAAAATTCTTTTTGAAAAAAATAAATAATTTTGAAATTCTTGAACATTTTAAAAAAAAATCAATTGAAATCTTACAGCGTGATGCAATTTACTCCTGACTAAATTTTGCAAACATAGAGTATATTTTGACCAAAAACAAGGGTGATCTACTCCTACAATTACACATAAAATAAAAAAACGAGCAAATAGAAAAAACGAATAACTACATCACATGCAAAATTAAATCAAAGAATGTTATCAGAGCAATGCTCTTGAAAGAACATGTGACAGAATCAAAGCTTCTGATAAAGAACATGCCACTTCTAAGGAATAAGACATCCTTGCATGATCAAATCCAATCTAGACAGGCAACCCAAACATAAACCCTTTCAAGCATATAAACCGTGTGTGTGTGTGTGTGTGTGTGTGTGTGAGAGAGAGAGAGAGAGAGAGAGAGTAATGCTCTGATAGGCATTCAAATCCTCCTAATTCAAGGATCATAACAGCCAGAAGTCCTTCCTGCTCAACACAGTATAATTCTCTATTTCTCATACAGTTCAATAGTTTCACACCCATTCTACCCAATATGATGCTACAATTTACAAACATTTATTCAGGACCAGCCCATTAGCACACAGTTCTACACAAAGAACGGAAGTATAAAGTAGCAGGAAGAGGGAATGAATCTTAACTGACACGAACTTCCCCACTTGCTTGTGCCTCCTTAACTCTCTTCTCATACTCATCTTCTTCTTCTTCCTCTTCTTCCTCTTCTCCGCCCTTTTGTTCAACACCCTCTGCATCATCTCCCTTCACGTCATCATCCTCTTCTCCTACCCAGCCAAAGCCTCCAATAGATCGGGATACTGGGGCAGGAATCTTGGCCTCTTCCACGATCTTCATGATTTCTTCAACACTTTGAAGAGAAAAGGTGGGATTTTCTCTCCTGTAGTACATGGCCTGAGCTGCTTCTGTCAGTTCCCTTGGCAAGTTCTTCAAGAACCATGGATGGCTCTTGATTTCTTTAATTGTGATCCTCTGTAAGAACATGTATGGTTCATAGAAACAATCAGAATTCGAATATTTAATCCATTAAAAATCAGAAGTTTAGTTTTCAGGAACTTTCCCTGCCTAACTGAAAATTCAGTGTCCATGGAGCAAGAAATATTTTTCACTCCTTGAACATTATTAAAATTCTTTTTCAAAAAAAAATAATTTTGAAATTCTTGAACATTTTTTTAAAAAATCAATTGAAATCTTACATCGTGATGCAATTTACTCCTGACTAAATTTTGCAAACATAGAGTATATTTTGACCAAAAACAAGGGTGATCTACTCCTACAATTACACATAAAATAAAAAAACGAGCAAATAGAAAAAACGAATAACTACATCACATGCAAAATTAAATCAAAGAATGTTATCAGAGCAATGCTCTTGAAAGAACATGTGACAGAATCAAAGCTTCTGATAAAGAACATGCCACTTCTAAGGAATAAGACATCCTTGCATGATCAAATCCAATCTAGACAGGCAACCCAAACATAAACCCTTTCAAGCATATAAACCGTGTGTGTGTGTGTGTGTGTGTGAGAGAGAGAGAGAGAGAGAGAGAGTAATGCTCTGATAGGCATTCAAATCCTCCTAATTCAAGGATCATAACAGCCAGAAGTCCGTCCTGCTCAACACAGTATAATTCTCTAATTCTCATAAAGTTCAATAGTTTCACACCCATTCTACACAATATGATGCTACAATTTACAAATATTTATTCAGGACCAGCCCATTAGCACACAGTTCTACGCAAAGAACGGAAGTATAATGTAGAAGGAAGAGGGAATGAATCTTAACTGACATGAACTTCCCCACTTGCTTGTGCCTCCTTAACTCTCTTCTCATACTCATCTTCTTCTTCTTCTTCTTCTTCTTCTTCTTCTTCTTCTTCTTCTTCTTCTTCTTCTTCTTCTTCTTCTTCTTCTTCTTCTTCTTCTTCTTCTTCTTCTTCTTCTTCTTCTTCTTCTTCTTCTTCTTCTTCTTCTTCTTCTTCTTCTTCTTCTTCTTCTTCTTCTCCACCCTTTTCTTCAACACCCTCTGCATCATCTCCCTTCACGTCATCATCTTCTAATCATACCCAGCCAAAGCCTCCAATAGATCGGGATACTGGGGGAGGAATCCTGGCCTCTTCCACGATCTTCATGATTTCTTCAACACCTTGAAGGGAAAAGGTTGGGTTTTCTTTCCTGTAGTATATGGCTTGAGCTGCCTCTGTCAGTTCCCTTGGCAAGTTCTTCAAGAACCATGGATGGCTCTTGATTTCTTTAATTGTGATCCTCTGTAAGAACATGTATGGTTCATAGAAACAATCAGAATTCGAATATTTAATCCATTAAAAATCAGAAGTTTAGTTTTCAGGAACTTTCCCTGCCTAACTGAAAATTCAGTGTCCATGGAGAACAATAAATAAATGAATGTAATACAGCTCAGAATAATTTGCATAAGCAAATCCTATCATTGTTTTCTGAATATTTTCTACACCATTAGCTTTCATTTTGGGCAACAGCATCCTTTCTCATAGTGCTCAATGGACATCCACCAGCTTGCCCTGGCAAGAATGCAGGGGTTCAATAGACCCTGCATCATTCATGAACAAGCTTATTTTCCCAATTCACAGAACCATGTATACTCGATTTCCTTTCTTTAATTATCTCAACAGAACAGCCATTGTTTCTCCTTCCTTTCCTATTTACTCGTTTTGGGGGCCATTAGTTTCTCTCATTCTGAGTGTTTGTGGAAAACAATTTCCAGTTTCTTGACACAGCACAGGGTAACTTTACACCCAGGTTAACCAGCACCCACCAGCATAATAAGAAACTATGACCTCAAACAATTCTATCCACATGCTATGAGGGTTCTCAGCATGTTCTCCAAATCCCTTATTTGAACAATTGGCCTGTATTAAATTTATTCACAAGATCCAATCATAAAAGTTGCACTCCAACTTACTAGCTGAAGGTTAGACTGATAACTCTAATAATATGCAATTGCCCTTGGAAAACCATATAACACAAAGAAAAATAAAAACATCAACAAGCAATGAAAGAAGAATCGCTTGTTCAGTCTTCCTGGTTTCTGATACAATATTCTAACCAAAAGGAAACAGATGAAAAGCTCCCCATGGTACAATATACAACCAGACCCATGTCTCACAACAAGCAGTTGCAATCATGAACATGCCAACCTGACAACTTTGTTCCGAACACGATATCAGTAAATTCAATGACGTGATGCAAGAAGAAAAAACACCAGAGGGTAGTGTTTCAGACAATGCATGAAAAATTTAAATAATAATAACAACAACAATAGGGGTGATGAGAAGAATAAATAGTAACACTGACAACAATTATGCAACAGAATTAGTTGGTAAGTGAGCAGGTAACTCTATAATAATTTTTATGATTTTATACCTAGTTATATAGGTTTGAACAGACTTGTAGCTAATGTAACAGGAAAGTAGGCTTATATCAAGATATTCTATCAGAACAGCAATATACATGAAAAGGAAATCCGAAGAACCTCTAATTTCCAGATTGATTAAAATTAAATGAAAGCACATCTACCAACACAAAGTAGTATGACATATCTTCACAATATAAGTTGATTGTCAAGTTTAGACAAGGTTTATCCATCCATACCCGGATTGGATTTGCAACGAATATGCGAGAGAGGAGATGTCTGCAATCCTGAGATATGTGGACATAGTCAGGGATCTTGTATTGAACTGCCATTATTCTCTGCAGGTAAACAACAAGAAATTCATAAACAGTACAAAAAGAAAAAAGAAAAAAAAGAACAACTTAAATAGAAGACAGACACACACAAGAGAGAATGTAATACATTGATTGTTTTCCTGAAATTCTTTGGGTCCTCCTGGTCCTCGAATGGATATGCTCCCACCAGCATAACATACAGAGTCACCCCACAAGACCACACGTCTGCCAACTGAACAAACAGAAATGAAAATTATAACAAACAAGCAAAGTGAGATATATTCATGTCCTTTGCCAAGAAGACATTCAAAAAAATTCAGATTTTAAATTTGCATGTCTTTGTTCTTTACAGTCCACAGAGGAAGTTTAGCTACTTTTATTTCCTAAAGTATCACATGCAAATGTGTAATGTATAATTGAAGCCACAAGCCAATCAAAAAAAGAAGATGACAAAGTTCAAATTGACATGGCAAAACCAATATGGGTATTTTTTTTCTTTTCTTTTCTTGGTCTTCATAGTTTATACTTCACAATGGTTGCCAAATAAAACTAAAATGAAACTGAAACAGGAATACAGAGAACAGGAAACATGTGACCGAAGTACACCTTCAACCAGAAACCTGAAATAAATTTGAGAAGAAAGAGGTGCATGCTACTCTCGAACCATATGGAACTATAGTTTTGCAGGATGGTTCAAAAGTATGGCCAAGCAAAATCCAGTGTTCTAAATCAAAAGGGTTAGACAAGAGACCTAGAACAGACAGATATTTTTCTTTCTACATTTTAAGATTGGGATTTCACAATCTGTGTTGGGATTTTTATGGCTTTATCACTGAAAGTACATTGTTGATAATTATAAAAAATCAAGCCATCTTAGTGACAGTTGAAATTTCCTTGAGATGGGTTTGCCTAAAATACTCAAACATTTGAAATTTCCTTGAGATGGGTCAGGTTGTCAAGATTTTTCTTCACCTCTACCTGTGAGGATTGAGCTTCAGACCACACACACACACATATAAAAGAAATCACAGAAAACCATCTAAAGATTAGATCTGCTGGTTTTAGCCTTCATCTAAATTTCACTTGGTTCACAGTCTGCTTGCAGCTGTCAGATTTAGGCTCTTTTGATGAACTAACAAACAAATAAGCCATCTGAAACTACTGAGGCTAGGAACAGAAAGAGCAGTAAATGTCTGGAACAAATTTTGTTCAGAACTGACAGCTCAAGTCTCTAAAGCTCAGATCTAAACGTTACAACCTAAGGATATAAACTAAACCAATTATAGAGTTCACTGTATAACAGCTTGAACTCGTAACTTTTAATTGGTGATACCAACACGCAAATATTTTGATGATAAAGGATAAGTTTTGATAGCTAAATCCATCTAATTCAGATGACCATGAAATGCTTAAATGCTTGAACCCTAAAAGGCAATCCTTCATACGAAATTTAATTTCCTAAAAACATATGAAGTTTCAAAAACACGTACGTTAATTTCAATTTAAATTCCATCCAACTCAGATCTATGTTAATTTTTATTCTTTTAATTCTACGGGTATAGCACAAAATGGCAATCCTCCATGCAAAAAATGAAAAACCTAAATCAATGGCGTGCAAATTAGTCCTGTTGAAGTCGCAAAGAAAATACTTTTAAGTAACAAAAAGGAAATGCAACTATAATGATCTGAGTATAACATGGTCAAACATTTATTTTAAGAAACAGCTAATTGTTGATGAGTCATGCTAGCATGCACGCTACCACCAGATGCAGATAAGGAATTTCAGGATAACACACTTAAATCAAAGTACGAGTCTTGGGAAATATTGAAGCTGTTTAACTAATGATCTCATTGTTATTAGGACTTAAAAGGAAAACATACAGACTGAAATCAAACTGAGATTTACCTTGCCATCGTATTCTCTCCGAGAGAGAACCTCTGGAGCAATATAAGCAGGAGTGCCAACTGTAGATTTGGGTCTTGAATGCAGCAAAGACGACTGCACAAATAAAATTGATAACAATCTAAAAACTACACAAATAAACCAACATAAAAACTACAAATATTAGCACCAATTTGGTTTATCAAACAACCTTAGAATAACCAAAATCACAGATTTTCAACCGCGGTGCCGGGCTTCCATCCAACAAGGTATTTTCCAGCTTCAAATCTCTATGGCATATTTGCTGAGAATCATTAAAAACAAAACAAATAATATAAAAAAAAAGACAAAAAATCAATCAGCAATCAAAAAGTACAAATAAATCAACTTGCTTTACCATAGAGTGACAGTAACTAACTCCTGAAATAAGCTGTTGGAAAAAATACCTCGCCTGAAAATAAATAAAAAATCAAACTTATTCAGCATGTTTTGTATTTAAAAATTAATCAAATAAGAAAAACAAAGAAAAAACTAATTAAAAATAAAACCTCATCTTCACTGAACCTTCCAGCATTGCAAATTCGCTCGAACAGCTCTCCTCCGGCAGCATACTCCATGATGATAGCAAGATGAGTAGGCGTCAAAACCACCTGCCAAAAAAATTAATAAAAAAAAAACACTTCTCGAGCAACATGCACCAAAATAATTAAATGAAATAGAAGTAGAAATTAACCTCCTTGAACCGAATTATGTTAGGATGGCGAAGCGATCTGTGATTGATAATCTCCCTTGCTACATTTTCATCAATCTAATCACAAAAAAAAAACAGATCTAAATTACTCCACCAATACAAGATACTACACTTCTACCATACCTCTTCTTCTTCTTCGAAAAGAAAGTTACCTTGAGGCCACGCTCGATGTATTTCATGGCGACAAGTTCTTTGGTTTGCTTGTGCCTCATCAGCCTTGCCACTCCAAAATTACCAGATCCTATGTCTTTCACCAGCTCGTACCTCTCCATTTTCCTTCTCTTTATAAATATAAGAACAGAAAAAACAAATATTTACCTCAATTAATTATAGCTCTTCCTTCTCCTTCAATTCATTTCCAAAAACCAAAACTATATACTTTCGAGGAAGAAAGCGAGAGAGAAAGCGGTAACGTCGGTGGTGGCGGCGGCGCTGGTGGGGAAGGGAAGGGAAGCAAAGAATCTGATTATGAAATTTGAAAGAAACTGAAATTAAATTAAAAAGGAAAGAAAAGGATATAGAATTATATAGACATGCTGTAGCTTTTTTCTTTTATTTATTTATTTATTTATTTTGTTAAAGAGAGGGAATGTGTCACGGAAATGGAATATCTTTTTCTGTCTATCACTGCTTGTTTTTTTAGTGAGAAATGTTTCCCCGAACCGAAACCGGGTCAAACCGACCGGATTTGGTTTGCTTTCTTTCTTTCTTTTTTTCATTTGACTAACAAATTAGCATAGTTTTTAAATCCGGTACGGTGGCCGGTCCGATTTAAGACTTGAGTTTCGGGTTTTGAACGGGTTGGCCGGGTTGGCCAGGTTAATTTCTATTTTTTTAAAAATTCAAAACAGTATCATTTTAGTAAAAAAAATAAATAAAAGTCAACAAGTTATAACCAAGTTTTGCCGGGTCAACCTGTCAGGTCGGTCGGGTCATGCCGGGTCACTCGGTTTTAGCTCGGTTTTTCCGGTTTGACTCGGCTTTGGCTCGATTTGGCTCGGTTTTTTTCGGTTCGGTTCGGTTTTTTGGTTATAAAACTGAAACCGAACTGAACCGGCTAGTTTTTTCAAAATTTTAATATTTTAATCAGTTTTTTTTTTCAGTTCGGTTTTTTCGGTTATTTGTTTTTTGGTTTTCTCGGTTTAATTGGTTTTTCGGTTTTTTTGCTCACCCCTACTTCTCGCACATAAAAAAAAAAAAGTTAATTACCCTCATCATCCTCTATTTTAGATGATATTACACTTTGAATTCTCTATTTTTAACAAATTACACTTTTCACATTGTATATTGATGAAGAAAATATGTTGCTTCCATTCGTGTAAGAAAAAACATGAGTTTTTCTTACGGGAAAAGGGGAGTGTAATTGATATAATAAAATCAGAATACAATTCTTGTTTGGCTTGTTTCAAATGCGTGTTTGGTATTTTAATATGTGTTTTTTAATAATATTTTTTATTTTAAAAATATTAAAAATATTTTTTTATATCAGTACATTAAAATCAAAATCATTGTAAAACATTGCAAAAATATTAATTGGATGTTTCTCCAAGCCACACGTAAAAATAAGTAATGTTAACTATGTTATAATGTCTAAAAACAAGTAATGTCTGAAACAATAATATTTTTAGATTTAAAAAAAAAAGTAAAGAGAAAAATTAACTTTATTAATCTTCAGGTGAAAATTGTATTTATAAAAAATATATAAGGTGCAAAGTTTGGCGGATGGCGAAGGTAATTAGTTATATTAAAATATAAAAAATAAAGAGATTTTACATTTTAATAGATTACTGACTTTTGCTATGATGAAAATCTAGTTAATTTTTTCTTGATTTTTTAAAATATATTTAAATATTATTAATGTTTTAATTTTTTTTCTAATAAAAAAATCATGTGGGAATTAATTTGATATAACTCGGTTAATTTTGTATATTCAAAATCAACTCATACAATCTATAAAAACATAGTTAGATTCAAAAAATATTTTAATATGACATATATATATATATATAAATAACAACATATTAGATTGACTTAGGACAACCCGAGTTAACATATTAAATTTATGACTCGAGTTATGAAACTATGATAACTTTATAGAAAATAAATTTTAAAGCCTAATTCTTAATCAACTAAATGTTAAAGAATAAAATTAAAAAAAATCAATTAAAAAATTATCTAAAAAGGAAAATTCAGTTAACTTGTGAAACTTGTAATCTGGGTCATAAAATCGATATAACTCTATAGAAAGCAAATCAAAACAAATTACAAAGTACAATTCTTAACTAGCCTAACATTAAAGAATGAGGTTTAAAAAAAATATAAAGAATAACTCAAATCAATCCGTTAAACTCATAGCCCGAATCATAATATAGAGATAATCTCATAAAAAAAAATTAAGCTAATTTAACTAAAAGAATAACTCAAATCAATCCGTTAAACCCATAGCCCGAGTCATAATATGGAGATAATCTCGTAAAAAAAATAAAAAATTAAGCTAATTTAACCAATCAAATTCACAACTCTAGTCATGAGACTAAAATAACCTCATAGAGAGCAAATCAAAATAAATTATAAAGTTCAATTCTTAATAGACATTGTCGGACCTAATATTGAACGATAAAATTTGTAATTATGTTAATTAAAAAATAACACAAAAAAATAAGTGAAGTCAACTCGAGTTAACTCGTTAAGCACTTTTCTTAGGTTAGAGGCCAAGATAAACTACTAAAAAGCAAACAAAAAAAATTATGAAACCTGATAATAAAATACAATATTAAATTGTGAAATTGTGAAAAAAAGTCAATAAAAAAAACTAAGTCAAATAAATTAACTCGCTAAACTAGTAATCTGGATCATGAGACAATGACAACCAGATAAAAGGTGAATTTAATATTGAAGAACTCGTGACCCAGGTCATAAAACCAAAATATTTCTTAAAAGCAACCTAATTTAACTAAGGTTACAATGTCAAAACTTGCGCACATGATCATGAGATCAGGATATCTCCTTAAAAAATAAATCAAAACAGATTATAAAACTTAATTCTCAACCGACCCCATATTGAATGATAAAATTAAAAGAAAATCTCAATTGAAAAAAAATAACCTAAATCAACTCATGTTAACCCGTTAAGAACTATTCTTGGGTTATGAGGTTGGAATAACCTAATAAAAAGTAAAGAAACAAATCATGAAGTCTAATTCCCAATTAACCCAATATTAAATAATGAAATTGAAGAAAAATATTTAACAAAAAAAATTCCAACTAAATAGGTTAATTCGTCAAACTCACGATCTGTGTCATGAAAGTAAGATAACTAAATAAAAACAAATCTAATATTAAAGGATCAAACTAAAAAAAACATTCATTAAAAAAATAAAAGAAAAAAAATCACTTATGTAAATAAGGTCAAAGTGAGCTTTTTATTGTGAACTTCTATAGTGAAAACCACCTATATTTTAATGTATTGTATAATAATAAATTTTATACTTAGAAAACAATTATAAATTTAATTTTCTAGCAATGATATAAGTCTGTCACCGACATTTCTAAAATAAAACATTCTCATGCTATTTATTTCTATTTTTATTATGAGTTTTTTTTCTTTGGGTTTTTGGCCCTTTATTTTTATCTTTTTTTTTAATTTCATTATTTAATATGATTTTTTTATTTAATCTTATCATTTAGTATTCAACTACTGGTAAATTTATTTTTATTTTTATATTTAATCCCAACATTTAATATGGGGTATTTAATTCCCTTAGGTTTTCTTTTTATTGTGATCTTTTATTTTTCTTTTCAATTTCATAATTTAATATAAAGTTTTTATTTAATTTTATCTTTTATTATTGGGTTGATTTTTTTCTTTAAACCTATTCAATGAATAAGGTCACATAGAGCAACTCCCACATGATTTAATTTAAAACCAAGGTTATCTAATTAGTCGGATTGAGATTTTTCAAGTTTAAATTGTTATATTGAGTTTCATGACAATATTTAAAAGTTTTCAATGATCTAAATATTATTTTTTCACATTCAATTTTTTTTTATCCAAGCCGGTTGATAAACTAATACATGCTAAAATGATAGGTAGAATGAAAAATGTCTTTTGTCAAAAGATACACAGTAGGTTAGAATCTTATTAATCAAGAATAAAATTAAAATACATTAACATTAAAAAGTATATAAAAGAATCAAAGATACTTTACAGAATGAATGTATCCATAATTTGGATCATGAGAATACTAGATTCACCACTTATCCAAACAAAAATCTTGATCATGAAAATACAAATTTATTATACCTTTTATTGATTAGATATAATCCTCCATAAGACACATAAAAGGGAAAACAAAAAACCTAAAAAAAACTACTGACCATGGAAAAAATCTTGTATACGACATACCACCACTAAAGAGAGGAGATAAAAGGGAGGGGGGGATTTTCATCTTGTTTGGCATTGCGATCTAATCATGTTTTAGAATTTTTTTTTACTTCAAATTATTTTTTTAGTATTTTTAAATCGTTTTGCTGTGATGATATCAAAATTATTTTTTTAATATTTTTTTGATATTTTTTAAGCAAAAAGCACTTTGAAAAATAATTTTTGTCACACTCTCAAGCAGATCCTTTAAAAAATCAAGAACAAGGCCATTAGGATAAGGCAAACAATTTTAACTATTAAATTTATGCATATTTATTATTATTTTTCTATATGAACAACTTTATCATTTTTCATAAACCTTGTAAAAATAAATCTTATTTTGTATACTTATGCATTAAAAAAATAAAAATATGTATAATTCAAACGTGTAGTAGTATTTGACCATTTAGTATAGCATATTGCGATAACTTCTATTTTTAAAAGGGATTTTCAAAGTGTATTTTTGCATAAAAAGACATTAAATTGATGTTTTTATATATTTTTTGATGACCTTGATATGCTGTTCAAAATAAATAAATAAATTTAAAAATATCATTTTTAATGCATTTTCAATTGAAAAAATAGTTTTAAAAAAGCATCATGTATCACTTTACCAAACACATTCTAAATTATTTAAGTAAGAAATAAAGTTGCATTTTATTTTAAACTAGTTTTGATCCTTAGTGTTGTGGTGTGATTGAATTTTGATTGTTTATAAATAAGTAAGTTTTTATTTTTCTCACTAAAAGAATATCTTTTCTTTAAACCTGTAATTAAACTTTGAAACTTATAAAAATATTTATTTAGATTTAATAACTCAATTTGAAATTCAAATCAATAACCTCAAAAGAATTCTAAACAAAAGAATTTATTGAACATTCTGAATTTAATTTACATGGTTCCGCTTTAGATATAGTAAGGAAAAAATAAAGATGATATCATTTCATTATATTACCATTTTGATTCCTCGCGCTACACTACAAGATGGAGCATTTTTTCTCTCAACATAAAAAAAGGTGAAGGCGATTGTTAACATTTTTTTTACCTTCAAAATGTTTTTTAACTATAAACTAAAAATTTTATACATGCATTCAACAAAATAAATAAAAAATTATATAT